CTTTAACTGAAAAAAATAAAACAGTATATTCTCGTCGAGATGTTCTTTAATTTATCCCATTTAATTACAAAACTCTAAATGATTCTGGGAGATAGCAATTTTTGGTAGTAGACGTGGATTCGAGCAACCGAGTTAATAGCTTGAGCAAATGCAGTTCGGCCGGTATATTGGGGTTCAAGAGTCGCATCAACAGTCGAATATGTTGTTCGTCGCGGTCTAAAAAGCCGCACAGCAAGGCGACCGTTGTCAGCTTCAACTCTAGATCGTCTGTAGATTTTTTATTTTTTTCCTTGATCCAAGTGGTTGCACAATTGAAGATTGCGCGCTCCATAATTTTTTGATTCATCCTTCTTTAATATACTCATCACCTTTAAATGAATAATAGCGAGTAGAACTCGCGCCTTATATACGCCCGTGATCCGGGTGGAAGCAAGCGCGGCGATTACCCCCCTCTACGTAGTGGGAGTTGGGGGCTCCCTGTGATTGCGCGGAAGCTCCGCTCTAGCTTGCATATAAAGGTAAACAAAAAATATCAAACCGCCGGCCATTGCTATAAAAGGCACATATTTGAAAAACGTTTTAATTGTACCCAATAGAATATCGGAAACGTTTGATACAAATGAGCGCGTTTCCACGGCGGCCCAGTCGATCATGGCACCCGACACCTCTAGCAACGACGGCGTATGACAATAGTATACTACATTCGGTGGCACCTTTGCTCCCGCCAAGGCTCCGAGACTGCAACCAACGCACGGCGTATACCCGTCGGTGCCCGGCTCCTTGCACTTTATTTCCTTTTGAATATCCAATAGCTCGTGCGGTTGGCAAAGATATTTATCTTTGGCCACTTGGGTGGAATTTGGGCCACAGGTGCACTGGGCCACTTTACAAACACTCTTCAAGTGACCCGTGGAACTATCAAATTCGTAACGAAAACAGCCACTCATTTGCGCCTGTCTAGTGGATAAATAGGCGTGCAATCCGGTCGCCGTCAGCGCCGTCACCGACCCACCAATCACTATATACTTCAACAGGCGGGCCCGTACACCCGGGTTTTTGGTTATAATGTGCAGAAATAGATCGTCTGATTTGGCCACATTGGATATTTTAGCTACCGATTGTAGTTCGGGGATTTTTGTAGTCAATGTAGAAATTCCTTTTAAAAATTTAGCTGCCATCTTAAACATAGGTTTGAGTAAACATAGGTTTGAGTGTACAAAAAACAAATGATCAAATTAAATTTATTTATTTGCACAACATGTGTACCAAGTGTTTGACAAATTATATAAACACGGTAAATTATACAAATATTAAAAAAATATAAAAAATTGTACAGTTTAATTCATTGCCTCTAAATTTTTATCCCTTTTGAACGTATAGCCGCAACACCCTGCGAATCTTCTCCTCCTGGGTGTGTGCGTTGCTCACATGATACAATTCTTGAAGATTGATATTTTCCACAAATTTAATAATTTTTTCAATAGGCACTGTTTTTTGGAAACACACTGGCGTTTTGATATATTCGCCCATAATAAATAGCGGATCTTTGAGCAATTTTGGATTGACTTGGACCTTGTCTATAATTTTAATCAAAAGCTGATCCATTGCCTTCCACCTTATTTGCAATGAACCGCGCAAACAGGTATACTTCGGTAGCGGCACAATGTACCGGATTCCGACCCATGAACATTGTGTGGCGCAAACACTTTTTCTCTTGGGCGCGCTGTAATGTCGTTTGTGCCGTTCTCGAATAAACCATATTCAACTTTTTAAACGTTGGACAATTGAAGGGATGATTTTCGATATTTATATAATTATAGATATTTAGACTCTGGAACCAATCCAATTCCACATGCCCGCCTTTGTAGCCGATTAAGCCGTTCCTTCGGGTTGCGTCCTGGGCCAATCTGCGCAAAATGGAAATGATGTCGTATTGGGGGTCATCCGAAGGAAAATCTTTGTACGGCATACCGTGTACATGTCGCGACACGTACGAAACCGTGCGTTTATCTTTTGGGCCCAATTGTGTAAATGATTTATTTGTAGTCACTTGAAAATGTCGGCACTCTACCTCGTTTGTTTCTACGTCCACCCAGGCCATTTCTTTACATAAAAAACCCCCATCGACCAGAAAACCGTCCATATCCACAATATAAATCACTTTGGGTATCATGGTGGATGGGTAGGTGGGTGTGTAATGCTTATACTTGTGAGTCTCATAGATGAGGGTTTCGATTATATATGTCTGATTCAATGGGCTCTTGTTGCAAAATACACACGTGGTGTCTCATTAAAAGGCTATTGCGTTTCAAACCCGTGTAACCCGTGTTTGATAAACCTTTTGAATTGTTCATACAAGTTTAGTGCCACAATCGATGTACAAGAGGCAGTATCTATACTCCCACCCGTGGTGTAGGAAACAAACAACAAGATCGAGTTTTATCTATGAGGGATATATTGATTTGATTACGGTATAAACTCGTTAGATTGGCCCGTCACCACAAAGCTTTGTTCCGTGTGTATATTGTTTGTCTGCGGCCAATTGAGCAAACTATAAACCACACCGGGCAATATTTTAAACCAAACTCTATTTACTTTTTTGTCGGTAATGTGATGAATGCCTCGTTCGCTCGCCACGCTGGTCAGCGGTCCTTCGACTTGGTGCCGACTGCTGCTTAAAATGTTTTTATATTTTTTTGAAATTTTATTGCGTATATCGTTCACCATATAGATGAGCGCACCGGGTGGGTCTTTTGGTATGGGATCTATAGACTTGGTGTCTTCCATGTACAAGAATCGGGTGCGATACAAATCGCGCAAATCTTCGTCGACACCCGGATTGATTAATAAAAATGACGAATAAAATATGGCCAATTTGGTAGTGTTGATCGGTTCCACCAGCGCCAGAATGGCCTCCAATAGCGCATTGCCGACACATTTGTCGTGATAGAGTTTTACATTTAGCAACGGATCGGCGGGGTAGTTACTGCTGCTGCTGCTGCTGCTCGTAGAGGATATGGCTAGAATTTTCATAAAAGACCAATACGAGTCCAAATTTGACAACGCCGACAGGGGAATCAGTCCGTGAATACAGTGCGTATTGATCTTTGTAAATTTTGCAAAACATTCTGAAATTTTCTTGTCAATCTGCTCATAATATCGCCTCTCGTGGGACGGCTGGTGCAGCACTTTGGGATTGCGATAAAACTCACCCACTTTATAATTGGCATCTTGCAATGGAAAATTGTCCATGTAAATGGTGGGCGACATGCCCGCATTGCCCGCGACATATTTGATATTCAACGCTTGTTGTTGTTTATTTTCAAAATATCCGCTCAACAGTGATATGGGCGACTGTCCCTCAAAAGGCAGCGTCTCGGAAAAGATGGAAAACAGTTGATCCATATTGTCGTTGATCAGCTTTTTAATCCTTTCCGGATGTTCACCAATGTAGCGACAAATAATGTTGGTTATTCGGTTCATAAACTCTTCACGATTTTGAATTTCGCCCCCACTCATGGTCATTATAGACATTGTAATATCGCGCCCGCTAATGAAATTATTAGCACAAGTATCCACGTATTTGTAACACACTAGATTTAAATGGTTTGGCGACAATACGCCGGGATCGACGCACTCTAGCACAATGTCTTCAATTTTGGTATCCAACGGGCAGTTGATTTGAAACGGTGGCGACGAGAATGGCGTCAAAAGCGACGGAATATTTCCATATAAAATTAATATTTTTCCCTGATATATGATCAATTGAGACATTACCGCATTCTATGAAAGAGGATAAGTAAATGAGACGTGATGATCCTCGACGGAATACTAGGTGTGATATCTGGACTCTTGTCAAATCCAAATTTATGGGTGATTGTATTAATTATAGCACTGTTTTATTTTGTTTTTTACAGAATGGTGAGCGAAGCCGCCAGTGAATCGTCAAACGATTATTCCGACTTTTTGGCAACTTTTTGGGCATCGGACAGTATAGCCAGTGACCAATCTCAAAATTCGCAAATGTCCAGCGGCGATAACGGCTCAACAAACCAATCATCAACCTCGGCCAAATCACAAGAAAGTTTTCAAAACTCTGGCGACACTAGCAGAAATTCAAACGCCTCTATCAAATCACAAGAAAGTTTGCAAACTTCCGGCAACACCAGTCGTAATTCACTGGCCTCTACCAACTCGAAACAAAATTCTCAAAACAGTGGCGACAATAGCCGTAATTCACTTTCATTCACCAAGTCGAAAGAAAATTCTCAAACATCCGGCAACACCAGTCGTAATTCACTGGCCTCTACCAACTCGAAACAAAATTCTCAAAACAGTGGCGACAATAGTCGTAATTCACTGGCCTCTACCAACTCGAAACAAAATTCTCAAAACAGTGGTAAAAACTCGCAAACGTCTACCAAATCCCAAACAAACTCACAAACCAGCACCAACAATTCCAATCAGTCGAAAACAAACTCTAATCAGTCCACTAACAACTCTAATCAGTCGCAAGCCAACTCCAATCGGTCCACCAACAACAGCAACAATTCTGTAAAATCTAGGAAAAAATGAATTTAAACCATAACGAGCGAGCGGCGCACTAGAGTGTGCCTCTCTTGGAAATTGTAGGCTTTTAGATAGGGAGAATAAGATGTCTTCGCCAAGCAGACAACCGCAATTTATAGAGAAAATACTTCCAACCTGTACAAAGTATCCGTCGCCAATTTTACTATCTCTAATTCTAGTGTTGTTGGCCATACTAAGTTTTGTAACCACATCGCTAGAGTCTAGGCACATAAACATAGCCCTAATGTTTGCATCTTTATTGACTACCATTTACATGTTGTATATTCAGTTAATCTTGCACAATTGCCAGGAGGTCATCCCCCCCACCGTACCCTCGGGTTAAGTGGTTTAAATAAAAGGCCATACCATTTTTTATTTTCAATACCTACACATATACCTACTCGGGCAGACTCGGACCTCGTAGATTCAAAATGCTCGAGACCGAGACTCTTGTACCCGAATTGGCAAAGCCAGCTACCACAACCGCAACAATCACAACGCCCGGCACCGCCACTGCTACTGCTGCTGTAGTGGAAGAACAATGTGACGCAAAACTGGCGCCATTTTCGCCACCGCCACTAAACCTCGGTTCGGAGACGGAAGTGGAGGATTCGCAAAGCGCCGGCTTGTTGCTGCTCCCCGCAGCCGCCGCCAACCGCACTGAGGCATTGGTGGAAGAGATGAAGCGTCGTAATGACGGTTGGCTTCGTTTACACGCCGACCAAAAACTCATCACGTTTGATGAAAAACTACACATTTATTACTATAATGGATGCAGGAATGATATTTCCGTCACCAAATTACTGACTCAATGGTTTCCGTTTGACGCGGATAGCGTCGCTGTCCGGTGTGTGCGCAGCAAAAAGTACGCCAAGTGTGTAATACGAGACGCGCAAACTATGGAGATTGACGAACAGGCGAGCGCAAACAACATTAAAAAGGAGTGGGACAAGAGAGCCGAAGATGGTACCAAATTGCACGCTGAATTGGAAACCTTTTTAAAGAATGGTCAACTTATGGAGCCTGAGCGTTTTCAATTATTCGACGGCATGTTGTCAGAGTTTAGCGAGTTTATGCAAAGCAATCGCTTTCAATTTTATGCCGCCGAAGTACGAGTGTTTTCCGCACAGTGTTACGAGGGTCGAACGGTGGCCGGTTCTATAGATGCCCTGTACTACAACAATCTCGGTGAAGCCATCATAGTGGACTGGAAACGATCATCGGCCGTTTTTGATTTTTTCAATAATCGAGGACAAGGACTGCTGTCCAAATACCCAAACACAAATTTTTGGAAATATTCGGCGCAACTCAACATTTATGCAGTTTTATTGAAAAAAAAGTACAATATTCAAACACGCACTATGATTCTTGTATTTTTCAGCGACGATTTAAACAACAAACCTACATTACATCACGTACCTCTAATGCCAGAATTGATGGATTTATTTGAATAATAAAGATTAATATTATAGACTGATACCTTTGTATTTTTTTATAAAATGAGATGTAAATTTTTTGCAAAGTGGGTGTATATTATTACATCAATATCGATAATTTGGCCCCCCCTCCTCCCACCATTGAGTTTCCAACCACCAACTCTCAACTTGAGGCCGGGTAACATTTTTTAAGCCGACCAAATTGGCTCCAAATTGGTTTTACACCGACACTTGTCAGTTTCAAGCCAACGACTCGACTCTAGAGGCCGAGCAAAGTTGAAGAAGGACCACACCGACACTTGGCGTTTTTGAAACCAACATTTCTTGGTTGGAGCCACAGTAAATTCAAGTCAACTATACATTTTCGAGTTGACCATATTGGTTCCAAATTGGTTTTACACCGACACTTGTAGATTTCAAACCAACTCTCAACTTGAGGCCGAGTAACATTTTTTTCAAGCCGATCAAATTGGCTCCAAATTAGTTTTACACCGACACTTGTCGGTTTCAAGCCAACGACTCGACTCTAGAGGCCGAGCAAAGTTAAAATTTTGAAATTCCCGCAAGATGGACCACATTGAATCCAAATTGGTTTTACACCGACACTTGGCGTTTTCAAACAAACATCTCTTGGTTGGAGCCACAGTAAATTCAAGTCTGACTATACATTTCCATACTTAACCACGTTGGCCCCAAATTGGTTTTACACCGACATTTGTAGCTTTCGGGCCAGTGATTTGACTCGAGAGCCCAAGTAAATTCCTATGCCATACATTGCAAGCCGACCTCATGTGCTCCAAATTGGTTCTCTTGGTGTTTTCAAGCCAGGGATTTGACTCTAGAGGCCTAGTAAATTTAATTTAAATTTAAATTTGATTTAAATAAATAACAGAAAATAATTCAAATGTGGAGCCAGTTTGGAACCAACACTGCGCCAAAAGCGTTTTTTGGCCAAGCGGGAGCCCAGCCCCCCATATTTCACAGCGTCATCTCCCTGCTCCTCTTTTACTTCTGGACAATGTGAAATATTTAAGTAAAAGAAGCTCGCGCGCGAGACTGCATCTCTTTATATAGTTACGACCTCCGACCCCATACTAGATAACGAAAAATGGTGGAGATGATCAAATTTTCCCAGTCTCTTGTGGACCACCGTGGGATGAAGACGTATGTAAAAAAAAAAGAATTACAAATACAATTATACAACACGAGGACATACAAAAATTAACCCATGTTATACGTGTTCAAATTGACCACATTGGTTCCAAAAGAACAGATTGAACCGAGTCCATATTGGAGCCAAATTGGTTTTACACCGACACTTTTAAATTTCAATCACCCGACTATACTAGAGCCCGGCTCTACAAGGAATCTACCCACCGCTATACATTTTCAAATCGACCAAGTTCCCCGACACTTGCAATTTTCAAACCAAAGATTATACTCGAGCCTGATTAGAAAATATAAATTTAATTTGCTATACATGTTCAAGTCGGCTACATTGGCTTAAATTCTAACCCAACGGACTAGACTCGAGACGAATCTAAATTTTATAAAATCAAATGAAATAATTCAAATTTGTCGCCACTTTGGAACACAAGTGCTCAACAAAAGGCATCTCTTTATATAGTTACGACCTCCGACCCCATACTAGATAACGAAAATGGGCGTGACTTGCAGTTTTTCTTTAGTCTCTTGTGGACCACCGTGAGATGAAGACGTATGAAAAAAAATTATTTAACCATTTGCAATATCAGGCGTAAAAAACGGATTGAAGGCCCGACTACATGTGCCAAGTCTGGAGATGAATACTCATCTCCAAAGTTGACCGCATTGGCTCCAAAATGATTTTACTCTGACGCATGTTTAAGATCAAAATTTGGCGCCAAATTGGGTTTACACTGACATTTGCACTTTCAAGCCACCGACTAGACTCGAAAGGCCAAGAAAAAAATTGTAAATTAAATTTAATTTGCTATATTACATGTTCACTTGGACCGTATTGTCCCCAAATTGGTTTTACACCCACATTTGGCGTTTTCAAGCTCTAGAATAATTCAAATACATTTAATCAGTTTTTTGTTTTTTTTGTTTCTGCTAATGTGCACATTTCGGGTTTATTATAACAAGACTTTGTATTTTTGAAAGTTGACGAGTGCCGCTTTAAATCCCGTATTGGAGTGTGCCGCTCTAACCAATTTCATAAACCGTTGTCGAGACGAATTATTCTTTATTAGAGGGGCCAATTTCAATAAACTAGTACAATTCATTTTGGCCAGAACAAACAAGTCGCCCGATTTGGCGCTTGTGGGACTCCAGCGCATAATATGGTTTACAATCTTTACGAGTCGATTACAGTTTTTACGCGCGGGACGTCGGCGACGCTGGATGGTCCTCTTTTTTGAAATTTTGGGTCGTCTTGTTTTGGACTTTGTCATGATAATCACCTGTACGCGGCGGTACACCGCTCTCTCTCTCTTATTTCCAATGTGCGAGGATGCATAAATAGCCGGACTGGTCTTGGCGACGACGACAGTCTGTTGTGGTTTGTTTTGCCGAAAACATGGATCCCATGGGCGAACTGTTGTTGGAGAGATTCCTGAGAGACTATGAAATTGTGTGCAATATTGAAAAATTAACCCTGTGTCCGAAAAATAAAGTTTTTAGCACAAAAATTGTGTACGCAGGCGGCGAAAAGTTGACCGATATGCTTTTTAACCGCATGCTGCAAACGCTCCTCTTGGGCAGAGTGTCCTACAGGGCGTGCGTAGAGTTTGAAAACCATCACGCCTGCAATTTGATACCCGTCATGATTGGCACCCCGGCCGAGGAGCGACTGACCTCGTTGATGGACAAGATATTTGCCAATTTGGTCGACGCGGGCACGCATCTACTGGACAAGCACACTGTATTGCAAGAATACGTGTCGACCACTTTGCGGCGAGACTTGCGCGGATTTTGTATAGACGACGGCCACCTCGGCGTGCTACCGTCCCTGATTATGAACAACCGGGAAAAACTTCACCATTATGTGGACAGAAATCAAAAAAATTGCCGTGTATTGTACATGTACAATTTTATGGACCGCGGCTCGGTGCTCAAGCTGTGGGACGGCAAGGATATACTCTTTCGCGACCAAAACGGCGAAGATCACGTGGGCAAGCGGGCTATAGAGGCCACGTTCTCTAGTAAAAGTGTAATGGGAATAGACGAAAAGCACACATTGCACCCCTCGTACGATTGGCTAAAGCTAAACATTCAAACTCGAGAAATTCACCCGATAGACAGTTTTCCAAACAAGATTGTGCTCACACCCTCGGTGATTATGTATAGAGTGCTTATGCGGTGTCGCACGCCCAAAAATGTAAAAATTTGCCGTTCACGCATAGCCTCGGGACAATTTCACTTTTTCCTGTCACAAACGGCCACCTTTCAAATGTCCCACATGCATCACGGCTCCAACATGCTCGAATCCTTTACCGATTCCAACCTGATCCGCAGGCCGCTGGCCCACCAAATTGGCGCAACATACGACCACTTTTTTCAAATAATCAGAGTGTCCAAGCCCCATTTAAAATTGGACCAACCGTTTCCGACGGATTCGCGCGGGTTCTTGTGCCCCTACTACTTTTCGAGCAACATTAGCAACTTTTCCAAAACCCTGAGTCTTGTGGAAGACGTGGTGATCAATTTCAAGACAATCAACGTCGTCAACGACATTTTAAACGAGTTTGAAGCGGCGGTGGCGGCGCAACGATGCGAGCAAAACGATAAATACAAAATTTCCTTAATCCCGCAGTGTGTAGTAGAGGCGCCGCAAATTGTCACCGGACACGTAATTGTGCAAGAGTGCATGGCGACCGCGTACAAGGTGGAGGGTGATGTCAAGAGTCTGTTGATAGACTTGAAGTTGCACCACGATTCCTCATTCGAGTTGACTCGGTGCACTACGAGCGATCGGATATACATCAATTCGGTGGCCGGCGTGGCTATGAAACAAACACCCTCCGAGATTTGGGGCGGGTACACGGGCGGACCCACCTTGTCGTTTACGGCCGTCGAGCTACAACAATTTTTCGCCGACTATTACATGTCCAATTCGCTGCCCATACACAGTGTACCGGTAAAGGTGTTGAAGCCCTTTATGGCCTACGAGGAACCCACCAAATCCATCACCACGGCGTCACAACTTCGCAACTGTCTCCTGACCGACGCGCACGCGCACTTGTTCAATTTCAGCAACGAAATCACCGGGACATATTTGAAATTTAAGAGCACGCCCGACGAGGAGTTGCCACAATTTTTAAACTCGAACATTAAATGCGACAAGCCGGTCGCCGTGCAGCGTAACGGCTCGTTTCGCTTGAAAACTTTAATTTGTTCCGATTTGGATTTAAACGAAGACGCCTACGTGTTGAACGAACGGCTCAATTTCAATGTTTTGATTAAACGAAAATATAACATTAATCTGCCGTTTTCGCTGCAATTGGGCGATCGGCTCGTGTTGGAACGAAACCCCGTCACCTTGGAGCCCGAGCCGCGGGTTGTCTACAAGTACGATCCGCACACGGGCAAACCAATCTTGGTGACTTTTATCATTGGCATTTTATACACAAAGCGCATATTCAATAAAGTCATGATTTATAAAATTAACTTGCTGCCGATAGACGAAAATCAATATCTATTGTATCGCCAATGTGATCATTCCGATTTGATGCAACAAACCAATCTCAAGGCTCACACGGTGGCCTATTTGACGAAAAACACTGATCACATTGCTCGTTCTAACCGCAAGACTGTGGAGGAACCCCACGCACGGCCCAACGGCGAAGGAGGCGCTTCCCAATGCGCCACAGTGTCGACGACCACCACCACGACTACGAAACAAACCGACGACGAGAGTACTCTATACATATATCTACACCTCGAATATAGAGTGCCCTATTACGACGGCTTTAAATTGTGCAATTATAGTGGACAAAAGGGGATATGCACCTTTAAAAATTTATCCATGTACAAGATTGGCAACGTCGAACCGGACGTATTGGTCTCGGCCATCAGTATAGTTGGGCGCAAGCCGTTGCCACAGTTGAAGGAAATGTCGCACAACATTATAGCGCAATGCGACAAGAACCCGCATCGCATAATCGCCGAAGCCACCTATTTTACTTTGAAAAATAGGGCCATGGATATGGCCATTTCGTGCAACATGAAAATTGACAATCTCACCTCGATTGTAATGTCTATGAATAATTTAAATTACACGTTGTATCACAAGAGTCAGGATGCGTACACAATGTCCAACTATTCGCCAATTTCGTCACAAATTAATCCGGCAGACTGTATAGCGTAATAAAACTCGGCCTCTAGTCGAGTCGCGTTGGCTTAAAAACTAGCAAGTGTCGGTGTAAAACCAATTTGGATCCAATGTGATCTCAACTGGCGAGGTCGAGGCTTGGCTTGGTTTGGGTGAAAGTACAAGGGGATTCTGTACTCATCGATCGTTTCTAGTGTACTTGATTTTGGAATTTCAAGATTAATAACCGTTCACGCCAAATTAAACAGGGTCGAGTTAAAAAAAAAATAAAAGATAATGTTCTGGTGCCATGTATTTATTTGGTTACAAATTAGAATAATGTTAAAACAAAACAATTTGAACCGTCATTTTTTTACATATAATTTAGACCCGACTCGCTTGGAATCAAAAAATGCTAATCGAATCATAAAACACACGCATTTTATTAAATGGTACACAATAATACATTATTCTCCAAAATCAAACAATTTTACCAGTCGCAAATCGAAAAAACATCGATCGTTATTCAATGTGATGCGCAACGGATGCACCACTGCGGCCGAATACGTAGACCCCATAAGATCTGTTTGTTTAATCACCCGCTTTACCAATCGCCCACCGACACTGTTGCACACATACAGCGGTATACTACTTTCTTGAGAATTGAAAATTGAAATGTATTTTTCGTCATCTATCAACAGACTCTTTACCGTTTGGCACCCAACTCCCTCCAAATTCACCCGAATGTCCTCTATCGTGTCCATTTCCGCAAACGTCATCGCTTTAGTATTGAATTTGGAAAATGGATTGTCTCTAATTACAACACTTGTGACTAAAAAGTGGAGCGGATCGTTGTTATAAAACTGTAGAGCATTGCCTCCTGTGCCGCCGCCGCCACGATTGGCCGCAAAATCGATTCGAGGCAACTCTTCTTGTCCCAACAATCTCCACGTAAGCAGCGGCACTTTGTGAATGGCTGAATTGAGAATTATAAAATATAACATTTCGGTTAAATTTAAACGACTACAGGTGTCGGTCAACAAGGGATCGGTATATTGCACCCATTGTTCCCATTGTTTGTCGTTCATGCTCAACCACGATCTATTAATGTCCAAACCTTCGAGGCTGCGCATGTTTGGTGCCAATTTCTCACCATCCTCGGTACTCGTGACCAAAAAGCTAAGAATCGCCATGCCCTTTGGATCGTCAGACTTTGCCTTTTTTTGCACACACGAGCTTAACAACTCGCTAAAATTGAAGCGTTTGCGAGAAACGGGGGCCGCATTGTGTTGGGCGTTGGGCGCCGTCGAATCCGATTGCCGCCCAATCTCGTGTTCACTATTGCCGCCGCTAACGCTATGATACTGATCTTGTCGAGTGTTATCCCCAAATTCCTCATTGTCCATTTCGTCATAGTCTTCGTCGTACACGGCCGTCGCCAAGTTTGCGTTGCACGACTCGTTTTGTTTCATTTTATAAGTCACCTCAAAATGTCGTGTATACTTCCCGAGCACTATATAGATGATGAAGAAGATGGCGGCGAAGAGCAAGCGTTAATTTCGTGTTCCTTCACAGAGAACGAGACGACCTCATTCCATACCAGTCTAAACTGTAAATGCAGCTTTGATCACCGTGGATTTTTATATAACCTGCTGCCGCAAGCCATCATCTCCCACTTGAGATTATCACTCCAAAACATTGATACAAATACTTTCAAGGTAGACGCCCTATTACCGGCTAGTACACATTTGGCCCCGTGGTCTCAAACAGTTTACACCAAGCAGAGCGCTTTTCAATTATTTATCAAATTGGTGCAATTTTACGATACCGTTCACAGTCACACGTCATATTGGCCAGACATTGAATACTTTAGCGATGTTATCGTTGTATTGGGTGGTGAAAATGAAGGCAATGTGAAATTTCTAAGACCAACCAAATTTACCACTTATAAAAACTATCTTATCGGACTTCGTGCACTATTTTTAAAAATATGTCGCAAAACCGCAGCCAACATTACTTTGCAAATCGGCCCCGGGTGGATAAATGACATTGCCACCGGCAAAGGCGTCAATATCAAATACTGTAAACTTTCCACATTTGTTTCCAGACCTCCTCCGTTTATTAAATTGTTTCAAAACTCTGAATGTCGTCAGAGTGATGGACACTGCGTGCATTTCTCGCACTTGTCAAAATTTCGACAAACTGAACACAAAAAAAGTTTTACTCTTGGCAATAACCAAGAACACTTGGCGTGCGGCAAAACCCTCGCCATGTACGAACTCGAAGGTGTCGAGTTCAAATGTAAATTGTTCCCAGAAGCTCGCGCATTTTACTCGGAGCTCGGGCGCACCGATAAACTACACACCGTATTGTGTTATCCCGACGAACTGCTGGATCATCATTGGTATTCAGAATTTTTGCACATTATTAACCAATACCGCGCTAGGTTGGACGACCCTATCGTGTAGGAATCGGTCTACGACACACTATAAATAGAACATTGAACAAAAAGAGTAGAAATGCTCCCAATTTTGGAAAAAAGGACATGCCTTTGGAGGTTACAACTAGAATCGTCATCATGAGAGACGGTAGTAGCAACTCTGATCCAAATACGGCCAAGTTGACAATATTTTTTTTAAAAGGCGCCGTATTCGAAGACGACTCGTCCTCTCCGTCGTATACAAACAAATCTTCCAATAAATTTGTCACTAATGGCGGGAAAGTGGCCCGTTTATTAAAAAACTCCACATTCTCCAATAAATTGGCCGTAGAGATTATCATATTTTTAAATTCATACGGATTAATGTTGAACGTGATGCGTTGCGGTTTCGTCGATTCTGGCGGTATTTCGGAAACAATCATTTCAGCTTATATTCTATAGATTGTAGTTCAAAGTTTGCGCCGATAAGATGGGCCAATAAGAATGCGATATAGCGCGGAAAGTATCCAAGAAGTATTGGATTTATATTGGCCAATGGGCGGGGAGCCGACTTAAAATTCAATCGTGTCCCAATTTCAATACTCGGAGGAAAAAACAACTAGTGCGGCCTCCGAATTGTTTTTCGAACGCAAACGAAACGTTAGTGTAATTCCCTTATTGGCCCATACATACATTACTTTTAGAGATAGAGTATGGCATCCGGGTTCGCCAAACACGCCAATAATTGATCCCGCCGCGGAAGAAGAATTGAGTGGGTCGTTGATTGGTATCAAAGAATTGTGTCCAAGATGTGCCCGCGGTTTCATGGCCAAGCATTTCGAGAATGATCGAAATTTTCACATTATCTGTAACAATTGTCAGATACAATTTGGAATCTTTGGTGATACTTGTTTAGTGATGTTGATTTTGGGACTCGTAGTGGCCAACATCTATGAGCCGTCGGTCCTCAAAAGTTTACTACTAATGTATGCAATAATCATTTTGGTCTTGGTCAATACGAGTTCTATTACATCGGATTGTTTGTGCTTAGAACACTGTCCGCACATAAAGATGGGATTGGGTAATGTTTTTAAATGTTGAAATATAAGAAGGATAATGAATAGTTCGTTTGATTTTCGGGACAAGTCTACACAACGCAAAGCCATAGTGATTGGGGTAGTTGTGCTTTTAGTGATTGTGGGCATAGTGCTATTCACTCAGCGCAATTCAAACAATTTCCTGGGCAAAATTGCTCGAGGCATAGTGTCTAACAAGTCAGGCAAGGCTCCCGATACGACATAGTTTAATAGTAAGAGAGAATTGATATGTTAAACTGGTGGTATTATATCGGTGTTGTAGTTTTAATAGTAATCATCATAATCCTGGCTCGTAGACAAAAAAATTGTTCAGATAACGAATTGGAACTGTTTGAAGTTTTGTTTAATGAATGTGTCACAAAAACAATTACCACAACCGCCACAAAAGTGCAACAATCTCGAATTACCTTGGTTAAAGGGGATAAATACAACATTACCGGTCATTTTGACAAAACGGTATTGCATATTCTACCAAAGGGCGAGAAAACCGTGGACGTATCTCTGGTGGAATCCATTAAATATGGTTCGTGGAATTCGTTGTCGGGTATAATCAAGGTGGAGCTCAGTTGTACGGACGAAAAGACATTATCAATCGTCGCGCACACATCATCCACGCACACATCAAAGACGCTGGAATTGAAATCCAACGAAGTTGCTCTATACAATTACAATCCCTCCAAAGCAACCGCTGATGATCTTTTGGACATACAAAAGGTTTAAGTCGTCTGAAAAAAAAACACAACGTATATACAAATCTTTTAATTTTTTTTATATAAGCGGGAGTAGCCAAGAAAACAGTCGCGAGTCATGACAATGTTACAGGAATGTAACCGACTGGAATCATTCAAAAACTGGCCACTTTCTTGTCCCTCTGGTGAGGAAATGGCTCGAAATGGGTTCTATTATTTGGGCCACGGTGATGAAGTGCGGTGTGTTTTTTGTAAAGTGGAAATTATGAAGTGGAATACCGATGATGATCCAACTGGTGAACACAGACGATGGGCGCCGCAGTGTCCTTTTATGCAGCGACGTATCGTCGTCAAGTCCGATGACGCATTGTATGACGAATTCGGGATACGACGACGACGACCACCACCAACAACTCCCCGTCAAGAAGCACACGGCGCAGAGTCAAACCTCGTAGAGAAACCGTACCATTTGTATCCAAAATATTCAATCATATCGGAGCGTTTAAACAGTTTTACGCTTTGGCCCAAGAGTTTGAAACAAACCCCGGCCCAATTGGCGGACGCTGGATTTTTTTACACGGGCTGCGGTGACCGGGTAACATGTTTCTGCTGCGGCGGCGTGTTGCAAGATTGGGACTCTGATGATGACCCTTGGGATCAACACGCCAAATGGTTTGCACAATGTGACTATGTTCGTCTTGTCAACGGGCGCGGGTATGTACTGCACAAAGTTGGTACTACCACCACTACTACCGTCGACGTAACAACTACCGATCCGTACAGTGCCGCCGCCCACTCGACGGTCATCAACCAAAAACAACAACATTCGTGCCCGCGCGGAGCATGTAAATCGGATGAGAATGGGCGACTTTGTAAAATTTGTTTTATAGAAGAAATGAATGTGTACTACTATCCGTGTGGCCATGTCGTGTCTTGTTCCAAATGTATGCATGGTATCGATAAATGTCCACTATGTCGCCAAAATATTCAAGGGGTTGGTAGATTGTACTATGTGTAAATATAAAAAAAATAAATTTCAAAGTTGTTTTTTTTTTATTTAATAGAGTGGTGTGAATAACGTAGCTTTCGTTCCCGAAATGTTTATTTCAGTTTTGGTCCATTTATTAATATTCATAACGAGAGAGGGTACTTTTATTCCCGTCATCAAGAATCCTTGGTTAGTGTTCAAGTCTTCGAGAAAATTGTTGCTAATGAAATGTCCACCGCTGGTTTCGTTATTTTCGTCTTTAAATACAATATAGTTGTATGTAATAGACTTGCTGGTTTTCGCTTCAAATTTACTAGTAAATTGTTCATTACAAAACACAGTGGCGTGTTTATACTGATTTGAAGTCAGATTAAACGTTTCCATTTTGATGGCGCTCGTGACAAATATCTTCTTTGCTGGTATTTTACTAACCACTATTAGATTGAATCTTGTGGTCAAATCTCCAGCGCTCAACAGTATAATATCCGTGGGCGGTTCTATTCGTAAACTATCCCAAAAGAGGAGATAGGCCATACGATTGGCGGACTGGGGCACGCTTTCCAGATTGATGAAATCGATGGCGGACGAAGTGCGTGTTAGAAACGAGTAATTTTCTACACCGTTTAGGCTCGCGGCGTGCCCGTATTTGGCCCAATTGTTACTCAAATTGTACACTACCGTATCGGACTCGAGCGGGTATTTAATGAGGTCGGCCCTGAATGTCGACACGCGTCTGTTGAAACGGCTACAATAACCCGCTTGGCTGGGTAGTGAACAATCGTTAGTGGTGCCCATGACAACATCGTAGCCGGCAACCATGGTGGCTTTCGGGAAAGATGCGGCCATCTGAAAGGAAAACGGTCTATTCACAAAGACGCCGACGTCGTTGACGACCAAGCCGCTGCAGTACGCGCCGGTTATGAACAAGAGGCTCGGCGTCCGGGGTGTTAGGCTGTCGGAAAAGATGAAGCGCGGCGCGAGTGTGGTGGGTTGGGGTGGGAATTTGATCAAATTGTGCCAACCATTCGCGATTGGTCTGCTGAATGAACGCAAATCTTGAAGTAAGAATGAATGTGATTGCACCGATAACGACATGGATGCATATCCATTACAATGATTTAGAACCATTGTTGAACAAGGACTTTGATTTGGACTCTGTACATGTAAACTTTACAATACCCACAAAGTCGGTAGTGGAAAAATATTATCCAGTCATGCCAAATTTTCCCATAAAGTTGTATAAACAATTGGCTGTACTGTTTCACTATTTCAACATGGATCGGCTAAACGATCGATATTTGTACGAACCGCCTAGTGCGTGTCCGGCGCCGCTCACCGTTACCGAAAGCGTAGTATACGCACACGTGGATCCCGCGCAAACTTCGGCCAATGTGCCCTATTTCCCCATAGCGGAAGATCAATTTTCAGCAATGAATGTCGAGGATGTTCCCGTTTCGCGCAAAGAAATCTATGGTCGTATACACCACGAAATGGGAACGTTGGACGCCAAATCTTCGTGCGGGCGCAAACGGCGATTATTCGATTTAGCCCTTGCGGACGTAGAATCTACCAAAATTCAAAAATGCACTCAACCCTCGCCCGCTAAACCGTCGCCTTCCACTAGCTATCGGGAAATCAAACTCGATCCGGAGACGGATGGGTTCATTGAATCCACCTCAAAACAGACGACCATTTAAAACAACACATTGAAAGTTAAGAATCATCATTAAACAGCAACAATGGAGGACAATGAGACTGTTCGTTTTGAACTTGTATGGGCCAATTCGTCCAATCCCGAGTGTCTTCGGGAAGATGATTCTGATAAAAATATATTGGGATATTTCAAGTGTCAAACGTGGCCCGAAGACCGAAATACATTAATGTGCAACTTTATATGCAATGATGTAACGCAAAAAAACGTATATGACAATTATCATTGGAAAGAAAGTGCCCTTGTGTATGCCGTTGATAAGTTGTTTTCTAGCTTAAAAGCAGATTCGTACAAACGATTCAAATATTTGGTCGTTGAATACCATAAACCTTCCGACGCTCTATTGCTACACTTGCGTTACAACCCAGACGCCGAGAGTAGCATCGTCGAGTTGTACAAAATGATTTATTGGGTACTGTTCTATCATCTTCATATTATTGTGTATACGCCCAAGAAAAAAGAGTGCGATAGTGGTATCGCCGTACCCATGCCGACTACTATGCTCGATTGTAACACCGCCGAGGCCACCGAACCAGAACATTTTAGTGATGACAAGGAGGAATGTGAGGTTGATGACAACAATGATCAATATATTGACGACGATCCGCTTCAGGCCGCCTGGGGTCATTTTTTACAGAATCCCGAAGAGGGCAACGGTGCGCATGGAGTCGGGGACCAAACTCTCTCCACCGCCGCAGCCGCCAAACCCGTCATCAACCAAGATTCTTCAAACTCTTTGGAGAGTGCGTCTTCGGAAACTGAAGATGACGGCGACGATGACGATATCGGCTCAACCACTTCCGACGATTCAAGTCTCGACGATTTGGAAATGGGCGACGGCCAACTTTTATTTAAAATTAAACAAGCGGCGCTTTCCACCAATCACACCTCAAGGGAGATTTATACACAACTTTTAGAGGTGATGAGTTTACACGAATGGGCCCCTTTGGACATCTTAATAGCCACCAAAGATATGGTGCGTGGGACATCGTCTCAATTGTTGGTGTCGGAGGAGAAGCTATCGTCTAAACTCATCATAGGAACCATATTTTCCATTATAGATATAATGCCCCTAGATACAAGTGTGTCCATACAAAACTCTTTGGATAACGACGACACAGAGGAAAAAATAAAAAACATATTTTATGCCATTATAATGTATTTAAAATCAAAACATGTACCCATATATTCCATTTTACTAAAATACCCACAATTTGGTGAAAACTTGACCAAACACATTTTTAAATTAGCCAACAATCCCTCTAGGGAAAATGTTACATTATTGGAACGCTCACTAACAAACATAGAGTCCAAGGCCATAGAATTGGTCGATATGAATTAACACTAGTCTCACGAACGTAGATTGTAAAGTCGTAATAAATTTTTTTGATGTCTAAGCTCTTCTTTTCGTTTAATTTGTTCCAACTGGACGCTTCTTTGTTGCAATTGTTTAATGGTGTTTACGGCAGCAATGTTTGTATTTAAATATGATCGCGACGGACCGCCCAGTGCTTGATTGACCAATCGGTAACCCTCCGCTTCCTCGGCGCGACGGCTTCGCTCGATAATGGCCTTGTTGGTAGGCGTTTTCTGGACCGCTCCCCAAGCCGGATCGTAAGCGTGGGCGTTGAATTTCTTTTGTTGAGACGACATGACTCGTGTAACTCGTGGATCCTAGACTGATACTGATTTACAACGGGCGGGCGATGGAAATATATACTAATCGGGGTTACAAGATATCCATATGCCAACAACGCAGTCTCGAACAACACAACACGTGATCGCTTGTTTTATCAGCCCGAGTCACAGTACCGTTAAACGCCACATTGACACACGTGTTTTTCGAAAGATTGTTGGATAATTCTTGGAAAAATACAATATTGTCATTCTTGTAAACATTTGCCCTTGAGGGCATTATCCACGTTACGACTGACGTCAATTTCCAACACTTTGCCTCCTCACTACAACACACGGGTCGTTCTGTCGGCGCCTCCATAGTCACTAATTTACACAAAGTGCTCATTGTTGAATATTCAAACGTGTCGGTCGTGGTGGCGGAGACGACGGCGGCGGATATTGCCAACAACGGCCGCACGGCCACGCTTAAACAAATCACCAGCTTGACGATAAACATGATAATGAAAGTACGACTAGTGACGCATCCCCTTTTATGTTCCACACTATCAATTTGTACACGAGAGGCACTGATTATTATTCAATAGCGTGTTGCAAAACAATTTGTTTTCTCCGTGCGGTGTAACTCGCATGTAATACAGGGCAGTTTTGAATTTATTGCGCCAACAATAAAACAACCCGCCAATGACATCATCCACGGTCCCATTATAGTACCAACTTAACGAGGCGCTTTGGTCGATGAATGGTATGGCGCAAGTCCACACTCGCAAAACGTCCATTATCGGCAAATCCCACCCAGTTTGAAACCCAGTGTCTTGTCCACGTAAGAGTTTGGCCATAATCTGTTCACAAAGCGCCGGATCCTTTTGCAAAGGTTTTGACACGGTAATGCAATCGCCCACGGCCGTTTTACGTCGCTCCACAGGTCTACTCTGCGGCTCGAACCATTCGCTAGAATTCCACATTGTTGCCGAATGGGCGGTCGGCATTTGCGCCAACAACAGAGAATTTGCCAAACCAGTCTTTTTAATTTTCTCCCTCAAACTCGCCCAATCCAGGTCGTCGGACGTCGAAACGTGTGGTGTGTTGTAAAAATCAAAATGCAATTTACCCTCGGCGTAGTATGAACGTTCAAAGTTTTCAAATTTGCCATACTTTTCCACCAAATCGCAACTCATTTCCAGACCATAGTAATACAAATGTTCAAATATTTTACCCAATATCGGTCCACTTTGGGTATAGGGAATGTTATAATGATGGAGCATGTCGGCATACCCTTGTATCCCAATACCGATGGCGCGGCTTTTTATCCCATGATTGGCCAAGTCGTCGCTAAAACTGGGCGCGATAAACACTCTGGCCGTACACAATTCGACAGCAAGGCGCATAGCGTCTCTCAAAAGGGTATAGTCCAATTGGTGCTCAAAAACGCGATCTACGTTTATCGAACTCAGCGTACAAGTGGCCACGTTTCTGTTGCCATGATATTGCATAATTTCTGTGCACAAATTTGACGACTTTATAGTACCGTATATCACACTATGGCAACTGGTCGCGTTCACCGTGTCTTTGAACAACACAAACGGTCCGCCCGAGGTGATGGGGCTTTGTCCCAACTTTGACATTAACATTCGCGCATCTATCGTTTGCGCATAGAGTTTCTCGGACACTAGAGTTTCGTACAATTGACGAAATTCCAAACCGTGCAAATCGGTCAATCGCCCAATTCTCGAATCGTCGGCCGGATCAAACAGGTACCACGGTTTATTGTCGCGAATTGCCTCCATAAACATGTCATTTATCCACATGGCGGTAAACACGCGATCGGTGAGTCGGACCCACGAACTTTGCGGATGGTGCAAATCGATAAACTGTTCGACGTCCACGTGCCACGGTTCCAAATAAACGGTGCATGTGGCTTTACGATATTTGGTCTGTGGATAGTTTTCCAAAATGGCCGAGTATATGGCCAATGTGGGCAAACAACCGCCGGGGCCGCGACCGCCCGCACATCCGGACACATTGAGGCCGGCAGCTCCGCCGTTTTGCGACATTTGTGCGATCCAACTCAAAACTCCGGTAGTTTGCATCACCTTTTCGCGATCGCTCGAAACGGTGGGGCCGTCCAGCACGAAACACGAGGCCGTTGACGACGAATATCGAGACGCATTGCCCGCGTTCAAAAACATGGGCGTCGGCGGGACAATGTGTCCGCGAAGCATCTTTTCCAACAAGTGTTCCAATGCAAACTCATCCATGTTGGCAAATCCCGTGTTAACGGTGGCCATATAGCACACCATACGCACCAAAGCGACCGTAGGCGTCTCGTACTTTGAGGCGGCAAAATCTAGACCAAACACCAACACGCCGTAATGTGGATCCAAATGCGCGAGCTCCTCTTCTTTCAGAGACTCTATCAGTTTACGGGCCAATTTGTACCATTTTTCGAAAACACTTTTCGCATCCGTGGTCCAGTTTGCGGTCAATTGTTCGGCGGTAAAGCGTGGTTCCAATTTGGGATATTTTAAATAGTCAATCATTTGTGCGTCGATTCGAGACGTGGACACAATTTGATTGTTGATTTTTGAAATTTCTCGCGTTAAACGATACATTGTACTAGTGTGATATCTTTGATATCAAATCATTTATACTGATATCATAGAACACCCCCCCCCCCAATTTGACCTTTCTCATATATACCCCATCCCCGCCCATCGTCTTCAGTCTCCTCGAGCCGGTGGTTTAAATACACGTGCACTTGTTTCATTGGAATTCTACAAAAACATTTTACAATGGATAATTTTGATAACGAGTTGCTCCTCCGAGCACGTGCCAAGGTCCAATTAATGGACACTTTTGCTGAAGAAAAAATAAACATTGGGTCCGTTGTAGAGAATAACCGTTTCTTCAAGAAACGACATTTTGGCATCAAACATTGGTTCGATCCAAAGAGATTTGTCAGCAGAACGGACGAGGGCATGATTGAACCCAATTTTGATATATTGACACTGTCACCGAGGCAAGCCAGCTGGATGAGTTTACCCGAAGCGGTGGTCGAACGATGGAAAGAAATGGCGCAAGAAGCCGGCGACGATGGCGCTTCGATATATCTAAAGATATTCTTTTCCGCGCTAACCATGCGCAAAACCGTACCATTGCACGTTTTAACGCACGAAATTGGTGAATTAAAATTTAGAAACACCCCGTACACGAGTTCGGAGTTAATCGAAAGCAACAAGTTTTACGCGTACACGGGCCTAAATGTATTGGTGGTTAATGTAGAAATTCGCGACACTACCATGAACACCAAGGATGGGGTAAAAAAATTCGTATCAAGAACGATAACATTTGATCAAATCAATTCATTGTTGAGATTACCGATTACATTTATAGACAACAGTGGCAATGAAACTCGTAAACTGACGGGAGGGATTGCGAGCCGATTTCACAACGACGGCACCTTTTTGTCTATATTTACCCCCGTAAAGTCTAGTCATCAACACGACATCATCAAAAAATGGAAAAATATGGAGCGAAAAGTCAACACCACCAACCCACAATCGGGATACTATGTCGCTGCGGTAATTCAATTTGTACGCACGTACATGTTGGGCAACAAGCCTGCGGTGGATGTGGAGATTCGTCATTTATTAGAAATTGAACAATAAACCATTTTGTTTTATGAATAAAAGTTGAACCAATATATGTTTTTTTATTGTACTTTTCAACATTTGTAAATTATAGGCTCGAAAACGAGTCCCTTGAATGTAAATACAAGTTTTAAATTCGGCGTGGCTCTATTATAATAACCCAATTTTAGTGGTTGATTGCACTGGACCCACTGATCAAAATTAGTTTCTTCCAAAGTGATACATTTACATTGCCACATTACCATTGAAGAGCACCGGTCCAAAGCTACACTGGCAGTCAGATGTATACGATCAGTGTTTACCTTTTCAAATTTTAAAGTTAGCGTCAACATATACCCCTTTAAGTGAATCGGGGGTAGAGTTAGTGTGGGGAACAATTCTACTAAATGAAATTGCTGAAAGTCTACAATAATCGACTCATCGTTGGTGCACTTTTCGCTCGGGGATTGGGATACATCATGATTTTGATTCACAGTTTCTTCCACATTACCCCCCACTAGAGGAGACTTCCATTTTTGTGCAGGCCGTTGCTGCTGCTGTTGCATGTCGGCTAACTACTACTTAGCTATTCGCAAATCTCTATACTTTTTATCCATACTTTGATTATTTTTTACAAACATTAAATAAAAGAAATCTATAATAATGTTTTGTCGGTGAATATTTTCCGCCGACTCTTTGTGTTTTAACAAAAACCCCCATAAAAATTTGTCAAGTTCCTGAACAGAGGCCAAGTTGTCGGGATATAAAACAAAGTCTGGGATATTAAAGGCCCGCATTTTGGCCATTAATGTGTCAACTTTTGATTGAATTTTTGTAGCGGTACCCATGCTTATTTGTGCGAGGTAATTATAAAATCTTGAGCGACGGCTATTGAATATTCACGAAAGGTCGCTTAGCGACCGCACACTTCCACCTACACAGTACCTAGGAAAGCAAGTTGATGCAAAGGAGGCGAACTTGGTTCTTTTATACAAGCTTGGGCCCGGTGTGACATAATACTGTTTACTGTTCTATTTATGTGTGTGTATGTGTGTATAATACTGTTCTATTTATACACACTCACTCACACACACTCACGCTCACACACACTCACACACACACACACACACTCTCTCACACACACTCTCTCTCACACACACACACTCTCTCTCACACACACTCTCTCTCACACACACACAGACACATAGACACACACACACACACACTCTCTCTCACACACACTCTCTCTCACACACACAGACACACACAGACACACACAGACACACACAGACACACACAGACACACAGACACACACAGACACACACAGACACACACAGACACACAGACACACACAGACACACACAGACACACACAGACACACACAGACACACACAGACACACACAGACACACACAGACACACACAGACACACACAGACACACACAGACACACAGACAGACACACAGACAGACACACAGACACACAGACGCACTTTGTTTATTTTTTTTATTTTTCCTGATCTATGTTTAGTCTGCATTGTGCACGGAATGTAAGATAACTGAATGTGAGGGGAAACTGCTACAATTCCAAATACGTGAAACATGCAATGATCCAACGACCCTATAGCCTATTCCATCTCTACAGATTCGCCTCAACGTTTCATTATTGAGGCATTAGTTTTCGTTTTTCAGTTTTAAAAAAATGTTTTATAATTGTCCCATACATTACAGAAATAAAAACCATTTAATTATGCTTATAATGTATCTATACACTACCTATATATTTTTTTATATTTCATACCTCTCCCTTGGCATTTATTTATTTATTTATTTATTGACACACCAACAGCATAACATACAAAACATTACAATAATCTTCGTCTTATAAATAGTTTGGTATGCATGCCAAGTACTGGTGCATACATCACTCTCATTAGAAGACATTAAACTAATTTAAGTTCAAAATAAATTTCAATTTACAAATTTTGAGTTGCGGCAAATTAATAAGTAAAAATCAAAATCAAAAATCAAAAGTCAAAAGTATAACAAAAAGAAGAATTTTAGTAGCATAAATATTAAATTACAAATCTAATTTACCAACAAAAATTGAATTAATTGATAAGCTAAAATTGTATTAATACCGATATCATTTTTCTCATACGTCTTCATCTCACGGTGGTCCACAAGAGACTGGGAAAATTTGATCATCTCCACGATTTTTCGTTATCTAGTATGGAGTCAGAGGTCGTAACTATATAAAGAGATGTAGTCTCGCGCGCGAGCTTCTTTTACTTTAATATTTCACGTTGTCCAGAAGTAAAAGAGGAGCAGGGAGCTGACGCCGTGAAATATGGGGGGGCCGGTCCCCGCTTGGCCCAAAATGCGTTTTGTTGAGCACTTGTGCTTCAAAGTGGCGACAAATTTGAATTATTTTCTGATATTTATTTAAATCAAATTTAAATTTTACTCGGTATCTAGAGTCAAATCCCTGGCTTGAAAACTCCAAGAGTCGGTGTAAAACCAATTTGGAGCACATGTGGTTTACTGGTGTCTTTGCAAGAATAACATTTATATTTTCTAATCATACTCGAGTCGACTCATTGGCTCGAAACCGCCAAGTGTCGGTGTAAAACCAATTTGGCGCCAATGTGGTTAACCTGCGTTTTTTACAAGAATCACATTTAAATTTTCTAATCAGACTCGAGTCATCTCGTTGGTTTGAAACCACCAAGTGTCGGTGTAAAACCACTTTGTAGCCAATGTGGTCCACTCGATCTATTCCCTTCAATCTGTTCCCTTTGGACCAATTTGGAGCACATGTGGCGACCGGACGCTTGCTATACCAAGCGTCCGGTTAACACTTTAGAGCCAAATTGGTCCACTCGAGCAGTTTCTTCAATCTGTTCCCTTTGGACCAATTTGGAGCACATTTGGCGACCGGAGGCCTCGTATAGAGCAGGCCTCAGCAAACCACTTTGTTCGTTCGACCTGTTCCCCTTCAATCTGTTCCCTTTGGACCAATTTGGAGCACATGTGGCGACCGGACGCTTGCTATACCAAGCGTCCGGTTAACACTTTGGAGCCAAATTGGTCCACTCGAGCAGTTTCTTCAATCTGTTCCCTTTGCACCAATTTGAAGCACATGTGGCGACCGGACGCTTGCTATACCAAGCGTCCGCTTAACACTTTGGATCCAAATTGGTCCACTCGATCTGTTCCCTTCAATCTGTTCCATTTGAACCAAGTTGGAGCACATGTGGCGACCGGAGGCCTAGTATAGCAGGCCTCAGCAAACCACTTTGGAGCCAAAATGGTTCATTCGAGCAGTTTCTTCAATCTGTTCCCTTTGCACCAATTTGAAGCACATGTGGCGACCGGACGCTTGCTATAGCAGGCCTCAGCAAACAACTTTGGAGCCAATGTGGTCCACTCGATCTGTTCCCTTGCGACCACTTTGATGAAAAAAAAACACTTATCATATTCATTGCGATACGGCAGCTTTACTTTTATCAACTGATAACGATAATAATATAAATTGCAGACCGAGTTTATTACTGATATTCAAGTCTGTAACTTGAAACAATCAACAAGTGAAACTGAAACTGATGAAAACAAGTCTGCGAGTTATTGATTCAAGTCTAAAGTCTGCAAGTGAAACAATCAACAAGAACAATGTCAACAAGAACAATGTCAACAAGAACAATGTTCAACGCAGACACACTGTTCAATTTGGCGTTTGGTGCAACGGTGAAACATAAACTGGAGGCTTTCGTTCCGGACCATGTGCTGCCTACTTGGTGGCGAGATTTTATATTCAGCACGCTTTATCCTTATTACTTGATTGATTTTGTAAAAGCTACTGGCGATTTTCGTACCGCCCTTATATGTTTTATTTCAAATATAGATGCTAATTTTCATAATTATTTTGTAACGTGTCTAGACAATGAGGCTGCAGAAGAAGAACTTCGCGTTCCTGAAATGTTTTGTATGGAGAATTATGATAAACACGATCGCGTTCGCAATATACTGAATGCGGCTTTTAGAAAAGGGTTATACGATTTGGATGAAAAACAAGTATTGTGTTTTTTAATATATTATGTAGCTTTATTAAAAACAGGTACTAGATTTATGCCAAGATATTATACGCTGCTTTGGTTACGCGACGAGTATAATTTGTGCCTAAACTGTAGTAGTAATGAACAACGAGACTATTTTTTTAGGAAGGGTGTACCGTGTGATCCTAATAAAGAACAGAATTATGACTATTTAATAAAATGTATCGAAAACCTTCGATATTATTGTTCCAAATGTTATAAACCATTATTTACCGTTGTAGATTTAGAAGAATTTCCAGATGTATATTATTATAAATTATACAATGTTAAGCTCTCTACCAAATTATAATTTTACCCGTTTTAATTGCTAAATTGTTATGGTGTTTGGTATTGAAATGTAATAAATAAAATAATCAAATTATAATTTTTTTTATTATAAAAACATATCAAGCAATTGTGGGGGAAATAAAAATTCTGAATTAAAATCTTGAAAATAAAAATGTATATAGGTACATAGTCTTTACATCACCGAGGTCTACGAGAGACTGAGTCTGAGACTCTAGCTGACGCCGGGAAATATGGGGGCTGGTCCCGGCTCGGCCCAAAAACACTTTGGCTCGACAGTGGCGACATATTTGAATTATTTTTCCATTTTATAAATTTAAATTTAATTTTACTCGGCCTCAAACCAATTTCGAGCCAATTTAGCCCACTGGTGAGGGCTAGTCATTGGAGGAATCAAATTTACTTCTTGCCCGGCTCGATTTTAAATTCTCTTTATAAAATCAATTTGTTTAAAAAAAATGCTGTCGCTAATCAGTTATACTCATTACACTAATTGCGCGACTTGGCGATAACATGGGTTAAACGGTTTGATATACATAATATAAACAGTACTTGTAAAGATGATTTATTTATTAATTGCTCAATTGTAGTATGTATGAGATTTAGACCCCCCCCTAGGTGGTACGAGGCAAACATTCGCAACATGGGTCTTTATTTAAAAAAAAATTAAACATCTAGGAAACATAATATTACATGGTATTTTTAGTAGAACCTCGTGATTTCTAGTTTAAACTCTCCAGTATTATTTTCAACAGGTTATTGGAATTTAATAACAATGCATGAGTTTTCCTAGTGTCTACATGATGGATCGCCAATTTCACGTTGCTCGATAAAGGCATCAATTCTTCTTGTTTAAATACAGTATTGGATGGTATAATCAACACTAGGTTGTGGCAAAACAAACCAATTGTATCTCTAAACCGAGCCGCCTTGGTAACCTTTGTTTTTGCAATACCCGGATATTTAGTGTGACTTAAGATGGCTATATGTTTTTGTGTCAATAATTCGTATAATGTAAATGAATTTTCTTTAGACGCCAATTGCCATAGTTGTGCTTGAGATAACCCAGGCGGGAAGAAATTCGAGTCGCCCAAAGTCAGCAAATTGAACGCTTCGTTGGTTCCATTTAGCGGCGCGTCGATTGCTATTATTTTTCTAAAAGAATTTGGATACAGACTATTATAGTATTGGGCCAACAGGGCACCAGATGAGTGTGCAATCACATCGACCGATCCACTTGGATACTTTTCCTTCCATTTGGTTAGGATTTCCGTTAAACTAGTAGTATTCTCTGTCGCCGCGTGGGATTTGAGCCAGTTCCATCCGTAGCCCAAAATATATTTCTGATTGTCTTTGTTTTTAAAGGTTTCTTTATACAAATCTTTGAGTGTTATAAGGTGGTAGCCACGTGACTCTAAATGTGTAAAGAATTTGGCATATACCGAGGTGGAATATATATTTAATATGGGCCCCGCCGCCACGGTTGGCTGCAGTAATAATGTTTTAAAAGTAGACGGGTCCGATTTTCCCTTCAATATATGGCTAATATTGCCCGATGGATATAGCCGTTTTAGCGTGGTAGCATGACGAATACAACTCCCTCCCAACCCGGGTATGAAAATTACCAACTTGCTCATAATACATACTTATTTGTAAACGGCCGCCATAGCCCCGTGCAAGCTGTGGTCGCTATTGCGATAAAGATCCCAGATGATTGATAATATACTCGACAAGAGTATTCTCGCGCGCACCCAGAGACAAGAGGGTGATAAAATGCATCTGATAGTGTAGAGTACTAAAGGTTGACAAAGTGCACAAGAGGATGATAAAGCACAAATGATGTAGATAATGGTGTGTCGAGCTTAATGTTGACGATAACTTGCATAATAGTTTGATAAATGTACATAAAATAACATCCACAAGTGGTTAATTATAGACTATAAATTTTCAAGGAATATGTATAATAAAATAGAGATTGGTTATCATAATGTTTTATTAATAATCGTTAGGTTATCAGTAACATGTTATTTACGCTGGTTGAATGACGCCACATAATATGCATTTCTCTACCTATGTATTAAGGTAGGTACAATATCACAACGGCATAACAATTTAATATAGGTACATCATACACACACATAACACAAAGCACTTACAATTCTTTTAACAAGGCCGCAAAATTCAACTGTAAAAGAGATTTTGTTATAGAGTCGTCAAAGTAATGTTTACAATGTGACAACAATAACCACTCTTGCAGCACCAATTCCGCATTCAATTGGTCGAAGAAACGGTCCTTTTGCAGCATAATATTCGATACTATCAGGGCAAATAGTGTAGCCTTTCCTGGAGCCCGACAAATTTCTCGTGTGGGTATAGCCGCCATATTAATTTTTTTTATATGGTCTACAAATCGGGCCCCTCTCATCTCGATCCATTCGCGCGCGTACATTTTGGCAATGGTTTGTAACGTATGTGGAATTTTATTGCCCGTGGCATAAAACGCATGAATGATGTAAAAAAATCGGCTATAAAAAATTTTGTGAGTACTCTGCGACAGTATTCGCTGCAAATCGTACACTCTCTTGTCAAAGCACCCACCTGGCAACATCAGAGCCCTAGTATCTGAATAAAATTTAACGATACAGTTGAATCTTTCCACTTCCACTTTACTCATTTGACGGTTCGCGAGTTGTCCATTTTTAGGATAGCCTCTGATGCCGGGACAAGCACGCATACAATCCTTGGCAAAACTACACACCAATTCCAAATTATGTACGGCCATTTTGAAATGGTTATTAGTGTACACCACACTCGATTCCAGCATTAATCTCGACAAACACCTTTCCAATAATAAAATGTGGGTAAAACTGTGACCCTTGTTTCTCAACCATCTATGGTGAGCAATCACTATATTATACCAATGCTGATCTCGTTCGGCCAATTGTAACAACAACTTGTATAAATCCAATTATTCCGAGAATGACATGTTTGTTGTATACGTTGTCGCGTCACTTAAGTCTATACCGATTCAGATTGCAGCATCTCGATCTTAATATAATATCGTACGGGTAGAGAGGGGGGGGGGTTACTAACGATATAACCGGGAGAACCCTGACCTTGGGCCATTAAAAGAAACATGGCCATTGCAAGAGAAACTCTTATTCTAACCCACGGGCACGAATCTCCGACTGAACGCTATTTTATTGGCATATGGGAAAAGGATAAAATTAAAAAGAGATTTATAGATTATGGCCTTTATTTACAAGTGCTCGAACTTTTGGACTCGAGTCATTGCTGTTGCATAGATGTCTCCAGTTTACCAGTATCCAAGTTGTATTTCGACATTGACTGCATCAAATGCAAAGCGGGAGCATGTACTGGATCCAGCTCGCCGATTTCCCAACTAAAATGTCTAAAAAACTTGTGTGCCCAATTGACGGAAATTATAGGCATTTTAATCCCCGAACATTGGCTGACGGTCGGCGTGAAGAGCGGCGTTGGCTGCGGAATGCACGTCACGGTGGATTTGTATGTGGATTTTGCGGCAAGACATGTGATAGTCTCCAAAATGGAAGGCGCCGATTTGGGTTACGGATATATTTGCGACAATCCCTCGAATGTCTTGATGCCCGGAGGCCGTGGTTACGATTCATTGTTGAATTTAAAAAACCTCACCACCTACAATATACAACTGGAAGAAGCCATAAATGGCGCTAGTATTGTAGTTACCAGTGAACAATTGAACCGCAGAGATCATATATCGGTTCGTATTCAAAACACTTCGTGCTCGTCGGACAGTATAGAGTGGGTGATGGAAAATAATCAAGTGGGTGGCTGTGTTTTTTTGAGCTCAGATTCAGATCAAATTTTAATAGTATCACGTGTGATGATTTGGGAAAGAATTAAATCATTCATCAATTTGTCCGACCCAAAGGTGGCAATAATTAGATTTAGAAACAAGGCTATTCCGGTGAAATGGTTCAATCATTCCACGCTGGTGGTGTCCAAGGCGGTAGTGTCTCAGTATCAAATTAAAGACCACAATAGCTTTGCTTGTACACAGTTGGCCGAGATGCGATTGACCAGGGTGGATCGGGATCAAGACGAAATCATAAACTCTGGGTGTATGGATACAGAAGATGTTCGCCAATATTGTTCAATAGATGCGTTTATGGATGATTATTCAAATTGGTCCCTCTCTAAATCGGCCGCCAATCCCAGTAAAATGGTGGGTTTTACAGAACCTAAACGGTACCCCTACTCGGCCGACGAGATCAAGTGGATGAAGGAATTTAATTTTGATAGCACCGGAATCTATATATCAAATGCGCGGCGCACTCAACTTTTAACATGTATGGAAGCAATGGACCTTTGGTGGCGACGCGAGGGAATGGAGGTGGCTGCAGAATGCGTTAAATTTATTGCACTATTGCGCAATACCGATGGTAAAAAGACCAAGAAAAGAAAACTGGACCCGGCTCAAGTTTCCTCCACTAAAGACACAATTACGCCGCCCAGTTGGAAAGAGTTGTTTAACTTGGCTATTAAACAAAATTCCATTACGGCTTCGATTTCGTTTATCGTGAGAATTGCACGATGCACACCCGAAGATGCGTGCCTTTTAACAATGTTTGTGTGCGGACAAGTCGTACGAGAAAATCCACAAATTCAATTTGTATTGGTTCGTCTGGCCACGGCCAATACTCAATTGACAAATTTCATGTTGACTGGCTATAAAGAATGTGACTGGTTCTATATATATTTGATGACACAAATGTCGATGAACGCCATGACCCTGTTTAACCAACTGCAAAGTATAGACGAGTCCCTTTTAGAGCGTCATGTACCACTTCGCAATCTCATGTGCAAATACGTACTAAATTGTTCAAAGGCTGGTGATAAAATCATCTATTTCGACGGCGAGCGCATGCAAATGTCTTCGCACAAAATTTTAAAAAAACTAGCCCTGCCTTGGCTAAAATTACCCGAATGCGAATGCGCCTACTCGTATAGATGCAACTATGGCATATACAATCCATACACTCGTGTGATGGAAGCTAACGGCCCATCTCTACTCGAGTTGGTTTGGCGAGTATTCGGAACACCGTTCGATCTTATGCACCCATCCATAGCACTCTACGAATACGCGTTCAATTGCACCCTAAAAATACCCAGTTTTATCGAATACCTACAGGCCACCACATTTTACCATACACTGGTGGCCCCTTTATGGCCCGTGTACGAGTCGTATCCGAGCACGCACGAATATTATGGCAAGTCTAATAATAGTATCGAAGAGTTTGCCGTGGCCACTTTTCAAACTCTCTTGGAAGACTTGACGGTGGTTATTCAAAAACAAAACGTGCATTCGAAGATTTTCACAAAGCACATTATGCAATATCTAAACAAACTGCCCCACTTGAGGAAATTATTTCTGGTTATGGTGGCCATGGTATACACGCTAAACTCTAAATTCAATGTGGCCTTTGACACACCCTCCATGCTAATATCCAAACTATTTGGAACTGATTATTGGCAATGTATTGGCACAAAATTTCATTGTTCCTGGAATCAAAAGGACAACACGGTATCAAAGGAGAGTCGCATCGATCAATCGAGTATTACCGACGATATGGTAGAGTATTTTTTACCAGAGGAATCCAACCTGGAACCACGACTGGAAGAATCTACAGACATGTGCAATGTAGCTCTAATTAGACGTCTCTTGAACAGTGAGACGAATCATCAAGAAGCGATAAAAGGTTTCCAACATAGTATAATGTCACAAATTAAAGATTTGAACATGGACATGGAGGATTTGATAGCGCCGATATTCGAGAGGCCCTTGAATGTGGTCGACAAGAGACACATTGAATCTGTTAGCGAGACGCTAGAATGTTTCAGACAGATCAACATTGGCCCGTTGTTTGCCGACGACGCAGAGTCGCGATTGACCGGCATTGATGTGTCGCATCAAGACATCAACTTGTTTGTATTATTGGTGACGTCGTGGTTTATACGAATGGGCGACGATCACCGGCTCAACAACACGCCCATATTCGAGTACATAAACTCGTATAGAAAAATTTTGTATACAGAATTGTGCAGCTTGGCCGATGAATTGGTGCCTCATGGTAAAATCACTTGCCGCACCTCGGATGATTTGATTCCAGTCTTTGAAGAATTTGACAAATCTACCGAGTTGACAACCTGCCCCGAATACAACAATGTCTTTAATGTGGACACTATTCTGGAATATTATACGGCCCACTTGACTGACACGGAACGAATTGCTGAAAAACATAAACTTGTGCAATACGTGAGCCCCGAATCGAAAACAAAGATTGTCTCTGCGCTAATGGAATTAATTAGATCGGCCAATTACAATATGGACTTGTTTCTAGAGTTGATAAAACTATTGGGTTATTGCGAATATTTGGGAAACCCGCTTAGAATAGGAATCAATTTGTACGGAGCATCGGGGTCGGGTAAGACCAGTCTATTGGGCATCTTGTCGAAAACGTTCAACTCCACCATGAACGCCAATTTGACATCCAAACAATTCAAGGAATCTACCACGGGAGACAATGACCCGAATGCGAGAACAATAGGGCTTAATTTCATCTGTCACATGAACGAGGAAAATATGGTGCTAGTGTCTCGATTCAAATCGTATATCGATGTCGGCAAATTGGTAACCAGGGATTGTCACGCTACCGAAGTTATCGAGTTTCCCATTAGAGCCAAAGTTGTGTTTTGCACCAACGAGCCCGTACAAGTGGAGAATGCCACCGATGATGGCTTTTATCAACGCTATTATCCCATCCCACTATCGTACACCTTCAAAGACTACGAATCGGGCCTGGATCGCTTGATTCGACACCGAGTTGAAAATTTAATACCATCTTTATATTTGGGCGGACAATTACTGATGAATCTTCACACTAGCGGTCGTACTGTGAATTTCTCAGAGAAATTGGAATTTTTTTCGATGCACTTTTGCACACCATTCTTCTTCAATACCCTAACTCACCCAATTCCTAAAATTCAAACGTGCCACGTGCGGGACGATTACATCAAATACTTTTCTCGCACAAATCCCTTGAAATTATTCTCCAAACACGCTCACATCGAGTACCATCATGTACCAATATCGGAAACTCGCCTTCAAGAGATTTTAGAAAAGTGGTGGGAAAACAACAAAAATCGTATAGAGCACAAATTTGGATCAAATTCTAGTTTTTCAAAGTGGCTCAATAAAATTGATTATTTTGGCAAATATAGGCGCAATGATCAATACTTTATGCGCATCATGTTTTCCAATAGCTTTGATGTAAACACATAGGTTTTATGCTTTTTAAATAAATATATAATGTATACAAGGACAAGTTATCTTTTATTTTTTTTCAAACTCTGCCCTGTGTAATTTGGAGTGGATGGTTATCGTTTAATAGAAACAACAAACTAAAATTTCCGCCAAAGTTTCGGCATGACCGGTGTCAAAGAGGGAATACCACACATACGTATATGAAATTGCCTACTTACTTGAGTCAATTTGTCGCCAATATGGTTGCTAAAATAATGAGTATGTGTAGAGTGGGTAGTTTAAAATGCTCGCGGAAGACCTAATCGTAGAGATTGGTGTCAAATGCACATGAATTGTCCAAACGAGCCAACATGTGGTTCAACCAGTCACCACCTGACTAAAATCTGAAAACCACGCCCATTTTCGTTATCTAGTATGGGTCGGAGGTCGTAACTATATAAAGAGCTGCAGTCTCGACTGATGACGCCGTGAAAGCTTGGCCAAAAAACCGCTTTTGGCTCAGTGTTGGTTCCAAATGACGTCGTGAAATATGGGGTGCTAGTCCCCGCCGCTTGGCCAATTCCAAATTGGCTCCACATTTTAATTATTTTCTGATATTTATTTTTAAATTTAAATTGAATTTACTCGCCCCCTAGAGGCTAGTCGTTGGCTTGAAAACTCCAAGTGTCGGTGTAAAACCAATTTGGAGCCAATTTGGTCGACTTGACCATGTATGCAAGTTAAATCTATTTACCCAGTCTTTCGAATCGACTTGGTGGCTTGAAAAAACGACAAGTGTCGGTTTGGAGCCAATTTGGTCGACTTGACCATGTATGCAAGTTAAATCTATTTACCCAGTCTCTCGAATCGACTTGGTGGCTTGAAAAACGACAAGTGTCGGTGTAAAGCCAATAGGCTTGGTTAAAATTCAAATTGATACAGATGGTAGCCCCGAGAGAGCAAGTAGCATTCCTTCTTCTTGTCCACTCCCGGGCCTTTTTTACCAGCACATTTAGCATAAAAAAAAACAAGAGTCGGGGATCAAGACAATAGAAAAACAGGAAATTTCGTCAACTTTTTATTCATTATTGGGTATACAATTTGGGATCATCATAATTAATTTTACTAACAAGAGGTAATTGATAATTTGGCGAACAATATTCAAAAAAGTTATCCTTCCCACTGCCCAGAGCGGTCAATAGAGACAAGTGTAAACCCACATCTTTGTTATAATCTTGCAGTTCCTCCGTAACCGGGGATATTTGTTCAAACAATTGCAAAATCATGGCATTTACCGTTTCGTTCATATGTTTATACAAAACTTCAAACTGTAGCCCTTTGTAACGAGGTTCCGTTTCATCTTGCACCTTTGTAGACATGACAAACAAAAAATTTGTTTCCGCCGACTTTGCTTCGTCCAACATTCTAAAAAACACGCGCTGCAACGGCAGGTTTTCCTTAAAATTGAAATACCTGGTCAACAAATATGCGGCATAGTCGCCGTGCAATTTCTCATTGCGAATGATAAATTCGTTGGCTCTAACCATTTCGGGCATAACGTTCAAAACGCGTAGCCAATTTATAATGTTGAACGCCGTACTAAACCACAATTGTTCAATTATCAACATGGCGCACAACAAAACGGGTAAAGGTAGCCAGTTTTTGGTCCATTTATTTACCCAATCCAATTTCAATTGAAGATTACAAATCTCACCGCACTCGGTCAACAGGAGATCCTGTTTTTTTTGATCGGGCACAAACGCTCGAATCATATCACCATACGTTTGTCCGTGTACAATTTCGCTGTCTCCCTGGGACCAATAAAACGCTTGTACTTCTGGTATTTGTATCTTCTTTCTCACATGATCAATCACCTCGTCCACTACGCCGTCCCCGAATGCAAAAAACGCCAACAGGCCCACCAGTGTCTCTTGTAGTGGACGTGGGAGGCTTTCAAAGTCGGGAATATCTTTCTGAAAATCCAATTCGCCCGGATTCCAATGTTGAAGTTGCATCTCTCTCAAAAACGTTATTGCTTTTTCGTCAAATGGACGATTGGACGGTGCATAAAATGTAAATCTTTGGCGATTCTTGTCATAGAGTGGAGACTTTATACGGTACACAGACACCAAGTCGACATAGCCACCGATAATGTTCACGGCATCTACAATTTTGAACCCAAATCGGAACAATAATAGAATGCACTTGTCCCATAAACGATTCATGTGGGCGCCGATAAATTCCAACCAATCCATAATTTTAAACACTAACAAACACCAGAATATCTTGAGAGGTGCGGGTAGTAGGTGAGTCATTGCGGTACTGATGAGGCGAACGTCTCTACCCAGGGATATATATATTCGATTTTCAGAGCGGTCGGCTCAAAATATAAGTGCAATTGGTCGATCCGTCTAAAACATAATGACCAATGCAAAGCTTGAAATTTGTAACAATTTTACAGACAATTTTTTAACTTTTATTCATTGTATGTTTGATCATGCTCATTGGGTGCCGCACAACATGCCACCCGCCCAGGTGCCCGTGTTGCAAAAGCTCGACTTATTGGCAAGCAGACGTTGCGACTATAAAACGCTGTTAAACACACTAGTCGACTATTATATGATTAGATTAAACCTAAAGGAGATTGAAATATACACTTGTGCCTTACAAAGCGAAAAAAATAAACCAATATTGCCCTTTTGTCTTTCCAAATCACCAAACGAGGGGTCTGTGATTCTCCTCGCTCATCCGATATTGATTATAGAGTTTTTAAACAAATTGGGCGTAATGTTGTACACTATTAACCAAGAAAAAGTGCGCATTTTATTGACCAATTCTATAACAAAAACAGATGCGCCTCCGCCACCGGACTCGACACCAATGTCGCCGGCTACGTCGCCACATCGCACCATAAAAAACAAACTAGCCAAATTATTTCAAAGAGGAAAATGTAGTGGGTTGGAGGAGGAGGAGGAGGACGAAGCGACTTTGAATGCGCCCAAACAGTTGAACGTGTACATTAACAACTTGCGCAAACACAAGATTGGCGTGATGAATTTGTTGGCCATATGGAATCTGTATGAACGAGTATTGAGTTTTGATGCATGGACTGAGGTGGGGAACACTACCTACGTAGAAGCGCCCGCATGCACAATAAGAATTGACACGGTCACAACGATAAAAGCACCCGTCCATTCTAATAGAGCAGTCAAACGAGGCCCCCCGTCGAGTCAGTTTAATTTCTCCCTGGGTTAAAATGCAAAGATTAAAACGACCACCGACCGCAACTGTTTCCAAGCCTGATATTAATTTGCGCAATTTAAACACAATATCCAATCTATTGAACGAGTACGAGCCTGACACAGACTCTCTGGTGGATGACAAGGACGATGAAAGTGTGTGGGGGGAGGAGGACGGGGAAACTTTGAATGCAGGCGCTGAAAATCTAGAAAAGGAGAATGCACTAACATTGAATATTGTAGTATTGCGTAGTTTATGGGATGAAAAGGATACGTTTTCTAGAATATATAAATTTCGCGGTGGTCCCGTTTTGTTGTACAAATTGAACAAAAGTGTAAAATTTAACAAGCATCCCGCATCACGAGTCCTCATTCCCAAGGATGTGGTAGAAACGAAAGAACTTTTTTTCTCGGTATTGCTCAAGTTTACGTGCGACGTTGAAGCAACCCGGAGCCCCATACCTTGTGGTACAATATTTATAAACCAAGATCGACTCCCCGACAAACTCACCCCGTCAGACATACTATCTTCCGACGATTATATTGTTCGTTACATTTTAAAGAGGAATTTTGTGATATTTGAACGTGGAGGAGAATAATGGAGGTAGTATTGTCACTAAACCCCATATATTGTGGAGTGGAAAAGAAGAATGTGTTGATGGACCAATCCTACTATTATTTTTCACAAGCGGCAATTACACAGTGTTTAACATTATGGTCGCAAAATGATTCGATTGAATTTAATGGTAATTCAACAAATGCAATGGATCCAGCGCAATCCAATTATAGTGCAATTGTGTTATTGTTGTTGACATTAAACTTGTTCGGAGTGTTTGGTATAGTGGCCGTTTTAGGATTCTATGTTAAATATTGTAAATATGATAAAGTTGTAAAACGGGCAAAACAACAATTTAGTTCCAAATTGGTAAATTATATTACACAAGCCCAATCCAATTCCATAGACTCTTTTGAGAACGAATAAACGATAAAGTTTACACTTTTGCTTTTTATTCCACCAACACAACATTACAAGTAACCATCACAGTAAAGTATATCCCTAGGTTGACCACATTTGCTCTAAAACTGTTTCAAGCTAACTGATTCGAAGAGGCTAGCTAAATAAATTTATAAATTTCCAGAGTCAACCACATGTGCTCCAAATTGGTTTTACACCGACTCTTAGCGTTTTTCAAGCTGGTAATTTAATTAAATTTCATACATTTTCAAGTTTGGTTTTCGAGCCACCGATCTAGAGGCTGGCTAAATAAATTTATTTTTTTTACACTATACATTTTCAAGTTGACCACATGTGCTCCAAATTGGTTTTACACCGACACTTGTCGTTTTCAAACCAACGGCTCTCGATCGGAGGCTGGGTAAAGAAAATAATTCTGATTTCTGCAATGACGCGTCCTCGCCAGTTGACCACCTGTGCTCCAAATTGGTTTTACACCGACTCTTGGCGTTTTCAAGCCAACGAGTAGACTCTAGAGGCCGAGTAAATTCAATTTAAATTTAAAAATAAATATCAGAAAATAATTCAAATGTGGAGCACATTTGGAACCAACAATGCGCCAAAAGCGATTTTTGGGCCAAGCGGGAGCCCAGCCCCCCCATATTTCACAGCGTCATCTCCCTGCTCCTCTTTTACTTCTGGACAATGTGAAATATTAAAGTAAAAGAAGCTCGCGCGCGAGACTGCACCTATTTATATAGTTACGACCTCCGACCCCATACTAGATAACGAAAAATGGTGGGGATGATCAAATTTTCCCAGTCTCTCGTGGACCACCGTGAAATGAAGACGTATGAGAAAAATGAAAAAATATCAGGGGGGGGGGGGTAATTCGCACTAAATGACAAGAAATTAATTTTCTACGCTATACGTGTTATAGTAGACCACATGTGCACATGTGCTGTGACCCCATATTAGATAACGAAAATGGGCGTGGCTTGCAGTTTTTCTTTAGTCTCTTGTGGACCAGACGTATGGAAAAAAAGAATAAAAAAATGATGGCATGAAAAAATTATACTAGATGACTAAAAAAACATGGTAGGGATGGTCATTTTTTATCCAGACTCTCCTTGACCACCGTGAAATGGATACGTATGTAAAAAAGCTTACCCCCGCTCTATTGAAAGGAAGCTAGATTAAACGCTGATGATTCTACAAAAGTGTAATTACTTTTAAATCCCATCCTTGTAGTTCAATACTTGTGTTTTTTCCAATATACCCCGTTACATAAATTGATTAATGAATCTCTAGAGGCAAGCTTGTGACAAGAAACGAGCATAAGGGCCATCTTTGTCGTTTTTTATAAACACGGGTTTAAATGGTTATGTTTGTTGTGCACAATCAGGTGTAAAGACTGATATACGAGCTCGCGTCATCCATCATCCAACAGGTAATTATAATTATACAAATTAAAAGTCGACATACATAACATTGAATATTTTATTAAATTGGCCAAACGGGTTTCAGTTTCATCACGAGTTTTAGTACCATAGACTCTCATTTTTTTTCTGAAAACTCCAACGTAGGCCCTCTTTGATCCACGATGTGTCCGGCGCAATTTTTATGGGTTGGGGTATCTGCCGTTATTACACAGGACATCAAACGTGACGGTTCCATTTTCTTTGAGCGCGGGGTACATTTTCATTGTGATCATTTTCGTACCGATAGTCGATAACTTCTAAACATTTCAATATGTGACCATCGTCGTGGTTTAAATTCAACGCAATCTCCCGATAAAGTTGTGTGGGTGATATATTACCATTGTATCGAAATGTTTCCACTAGTACTCTATTATTTGTATATTGAAGGATTTCCTTGTGGGACCGATCCATATTGTTTCCACAGACTTACACACAATCCAATCGCCTTATGTACCCGACTCGAGGGCACCGATGGAATACACGGCTGTATATCGATATTTATATTTATACGTGTATATGACAGATATAACTTGCACTGTACAATATCAGTAAACTGTGTGAAAGGACGCGATAAATTTCTATAATTTTGACAACACTTGCCTTGTAAGTAGATGGGAAACCATGTGAGAAACATTCTCTGACCCCATACTAGATAACGAAAAAATGATGGGATGGGCATTTTTATCCAGTCTTTAGCGAGACTCCAAGAGGTGAAACAAAAACGTTACGAAAAGTACATGCGAATATTCCAATCTAATCGACTTTTACTCTCCTATAGAATATCGGTCAATTTGTTTTATAAATGGTGTTTAGTTTGTAGAGGTTGGCCGCTAAAGCAAGCTACCCTGGTGGGGGTTAGGAGGAACGCAAACTAAATTGCAGTCAAAATAAACTATAATATGGATGAACCCGTTGTTTTTTTTCCTAGATAAAAGCTTTTATCGGTCGAGAGTTTTTGTATCTGAGAAAATTGCGAGTTATTTCAAAGGAATCTACCACTAACACTTTACTCTTGTTCAAAGAGATGATTAAAAATGTGTGCCGGTCACTCGTTTATTTTTTTTTAAATATAGATACTTGTGCGTTATATTTACAGTTTTGTTTGAATAATACAAGTGTAAACACAATCATACATAGTAATGGGCGTCGTAGAACGAAGCTCTTGCGAAAAAAAAAACAATCAACCACATCAAAACCCCTTACTAATTCCTATACAATTGTGCACTAAAAGTAAAATCCGACGAATGCAGTTGATTTAATGGCGAACCTGCCGTAGGAAACATGAGACTCGTGGCAAGTGAGGCGTGACCCAACCCCAAAGTGTGTCCAAGTTCGTGTATTAGTACGGTATACAGATTGATACAGTTGAATTTATTTCGATTCATATACTGGACCAACGCCTGTCCGTAGGATGCGTCCAAAGTGGGTTCCGGCTCTAGAATCACATTTCCAGAGTGGACCTTTAGCAAGTACCTCGGTGTCTTGGATCCCATTACACACCAATCAATCTCGGCATTAATGTGCACAAAGTCGCCATTGGCGTGTGCCAGAGTGTTTCGCGAAGTAAACATGCACGGGCTGCCATCGTCGTGGTGGTGCCAAAATGGTTCGAAAGAAATTTTTGTAGTCAAGCCCGATGGATTCGAACCAGTATTCGTGCCTCTGTCAACGCTGTGATGACTCAATTTGTCCGCCAACGGATCCAACCATTCGCGAAACGCATTATCAATCATGTAGTTCATAATTTGGCAAAACAGTCCTCTAGATGGTTTGATCCAAGTAAATTTGAGCAAATCCTCGTCCCAGGCTATATGGTACGGTATCCTAGTGCCCATCGTTCGGTCCACCGAGGAGCAATTAAACGCCCATTCCAATTCGCGAAGGTGTATCCATTTATTGTGTAGTATTGGTGCCCAATCTGGCTTAAAATTTTCATCTATGGCGCGAACTATGCCATTTTGTTCCATGAGAGAATAGGGAGTGTACGCAATATCATCACCATAGTCGTAATAAAATGTTTGATGTGTGACCGCAGTCATCAACGCAATAAACACTACACACTTTGTAAGCCACATGTTTTCAGTTCAAATGGCACCAAATGTGAGCCTTTATATACTACAACTCGATTGCAATCTTGATGAGTTTGGTTTAATCGTCAAAGGTGCCAATAAACAGCAATTCCGGCTTGGACACAATAGAAGTGATTACATTACAGTCTTTTAACGTGTCTGTCATTAAAACTGATGGGTCTTTTAAATCTATACTACTTGCCGTTGAGTCTAAAATGTCAATCTTCTTAAAGGATCCGCTCATCAATCGGGGACCATAAAAGTGCAAGTTTTCGCGCTTTCTTGCCAGTTTGAACCAAATGATTATGGTTTTTTCGGCCAGTATAATTTCACGTATAGTACCATCCTCCCAATAATCTACAAGTGATATGTAATTTTCGCGTATACGTCGAACAGTGCCCTTGGAGCTTCTCGAAGAATAGAGTATGTCGGCACTGGGCATTTGTATAATGGAACAACCGTCGATACAGTCTATAACGACAGCCAGTGCGCCCATTAGAATGGTCCAATCGGTACGATTAAACAACAATTCAATAAAGGGTGGTTGCGCGTCGGCCAAAAATGCCGTAGATATAATGGGTAATTGTTGAATGTCACCCACAAAATCGGTCCTCTTTGGAGATATGTCCACGGCCAGAGGCGAATAGGATTTGGCCAATGTCGCATATCCATAAAGTTTTGGTATAACGTCCGACAGGCTCAATGTGGTGGTAGACTTGGTAGCAAGTGCTGTTAGATCCGATGTAACCGATTTTGTCACGACACTTAGTATAGATTTCAAGTTTCTTGTATCTATTTTTGAAGGCAACGCCGCAGTGGGTGAATCTTTTCGTTTTGATGACGGTGGTTTTGCTACTTTTTTCGACGTGGGGCTCTTTGTTTCATCTCTAGAGTCTGGTTTGGTGGCAGATTTGTGCGTCGATTCTACAGTTGGCCTCGACGCAATTGGTTCCAGTTTTGAATCTATAGCCGACGAGGAAGCCGCCCGAGTGGGTTCCAGTTTGACATCTCTCGATGACGACGCATGAGAAGCCGTCGAGGAAGTTTCCCGAGTTGGTTCCAGTTTGGCATCTCTCCCCGACGACGCATGAGAAGCCGTCGAAGAAGCTTCCCGAGTTGGTTCCAGTTTGGCATCTTTCGCTGACGATGATGGATGCAGGGTTGTCAAGGCAGGTGCCCGAGTTGTTTCCGGTTTTTCATCACTAGACGATGTACGAGTTTCAATTTTTGCATCCATCGACGACGATAGATAAGGCTTTTCTTCGCCTACTTTGGATTCTCTAGACGGCGGCGCAAGTTTGAGTTTCGGCGAAGGGTGGGCGGTAGTGGTGGGGGGCGATGCTGGATGCATGGCTGTTAGAGATGGATAAATGGGCGCAGATGGCGCTGAATGGTGTGGTGACGGCGACGGCAATGTCCCGTGTACTACCTTTGATGGTTCTGAGGTAGGAGGGGTACTACTATGGTGAGGCCTTGTGGACAAAAGTGTCGTGGGGGAAGGGATCGACGGTGAGTGGGGTGTATGAGGAGAAGGCGGCGGTGGCGGCAATATGGCGCGTTCGTAACCATGCTTGTCCGTGGGGTAACTAGCGTACGTGTATGGGGGAAATGGGGACGGCGGAGGCGGTGGTGGTGGTGAAGTTGGATACATTACGTGAAATGGTGGAGCCGAAGGGGGGGTGGGTTCGTGAAATGAATTTTCTGGTCGCAAGGGTTTATGCTCCAACATGAGTGATATAGTAGAGAAACCCAATATCACGATAAATATCATGGTCAACATCAACACGAATAACCAGTACCTAAAACGCATTGCTTACCCAAGGTACTTTGATGGAGGAAACGTTTTAGATAATTATTTTGATTAGTTTGCTGATTGTTTCTACAAACATCCTGATATTTATGTTGATGAAGGTTGTGTGTTTTGATATTAATGTGTAAATAATTGTATTTACAAATGGTTTCTCACTAAACACGCCTCTGATTGTTCAATTGTTTTCACAAGCGAGCCACATATATATACCGTGCTCAATGACGCCACTACACCAAGAGAACCAAAGCGCAACTGTGAAGAATATCCGCGTCGAAAGTGTGCGCGGCGTACACACACATTGTTGGCCATGAACGTCTTTTTGATTTTTGCAAGTGTTTTAGTGGAATTGTGCGCGAGTCATGGTTTTTTAGACTACCCAATCCCGCGTTCAAGAATGTGGCGAATATATCCCGATTTATACAGACCAAATTACAACGACAACGGTCTCAATTGTCTACACATTCAATCGACACCGGACCATATTAATTGTTCTGAATGCGGCGGGTCCCCAGAATATAATAGCTGCAATAATGGATCATTTCCCACACATAATATCATTGACGCCCGTCACAAAGAGGTCTCGTTGACCGTGCAACTAACCTCAAACCATTTAGGACACTTTAACTTTGAAATTGCTCCAAGTAATAACGAGACGTGTGGCGTTGGTGGCGAACCAATTTACATTCATATTCATCAAATCCCCGTACTGAAAGGTGTATTTAGGTACAAAACAACCGTTCCAATGGAACGACTTATAATGCTATGCAAATTTGGCGCATTGTGTACTTTGCGTTGGACCTACATTTGTGGTAACAATTGGGGATGCAGTGGTGATCGCTGTGGACTGGGTATGGGAAAACAGGAAATTTTTAGAAATTGTGCAGATTTAATGTTGATGTTGTAAAATGTAGATTTATATTAAAGTATTACATCTCTTTGTTGAAAAGAGCTTTTTTACTTTTTCATGTTGACTTTCAGCCTACCCGTGTGACCACATGCGCACCAAATTGTTTTTACACCGACACTTGGAGTTTTCAAGCCAGTGATTGACTCGAGAGGCTGAGTAAAAATAATTGGCGTTTTCAAGCAAACGATTATACTCGAGCTGGGCAATAAATAAATTTGATTCCTGCAATACTCCTGCCTCGCCGGTTGACCACATTGGTTCCAAAATGGTTTTACACCGACACTTGTAGGTTTCAAGCCAGTGATTTGACTCTAGAGGCCGAGTAAAAATAATTGTGATTTCTGCAATAACACACTCTTGCCGGTTGACCACATTGGACCCAAATTGGTTTTACACCGACACTTGTCGTTTTCAAACCAACGGCTCTCGATCGGAGGCTGGGTAAAGAAAATAATTCTGATTTCTACAATGACGCGTCCTCGCCAGTTGACCACCTGTGCTCCAAATTGGTTTTACACCGACTCTTGGCGTTTTCAAGCCAACGAGTAGACTCTAGAGGCCGAGTAAATTCAATTTAAATTTAAAAATAAATATCAGAAAATAATTCAAATGTGGAGCACATTTGGAACCAACAATGCGCCAAAAGCGATTTTTGGGCCAAGCGGGAGCCCAGCCCCCCCATATTTCACAGCGTCATCTCCCTGCTCCTCTTTTACTTCTGGACAATGTGAAATATTAAAGTAAAAGAAGCTCGCGCGCGAGACTGCATCTCTTTATATAGTTACGACCTCCGACCCCATACTAGATAACGAAAAATGGTGGGGATGATCAAATTTTCCCAGTCTCTCGTGGACCACCGTGAGATGAAGACGTATGAGAAAAAAATGATTTTTTTAAAGTTTCAAGCCAGTGATTTGACTCTAGAGGCCGAGTAAAAATAATTGTGATTAAACACACATTGGTTAAATTTCAACAATACATTTTAAGTCGAACACATTGGTTCCAAAATGGTTTTACACCGACATTTGCCGTTTTCAAGCCACGTCCTCGCCAGTTGACCACATGTGATCCAAATTGGTTTTACACCGACTCTTGGCGTTTTCAAGCCAACGAGTAGACTCGAGAGGCTGGATAAAATTTAAATTTGATTTAAATAAATAACAGAAAATAATTCAGATGTGAAGCCAATTTGGACCCAACACTGCGCCAAAAGTGTTTTTGGTCAAGCGGGAGCCCAGCCCCCCCCCCCATATTTCACAGCGTCATCTCCCTGCTCCTCTTTTACTTCTGGACAATGTGAAATATTAAAGTAAAAGAAGCTCGCGCGCGAGACTGCATCTCTTTATATAGTTACGACCTCCGACCCCATACTAGATAACGAAAATGCAACAGGGATAGGGTCTCTGACTCAGTCTCTCGGGGACCGCGGTGATGTAAATACGTATGAAAAAAAAATAAACTTTGGGTAGGTTTCATACATGTATTTTTGATGTATTTTCACACTTTTGCCAGTTTATATGAATACTGCTATACAAATTCAATCTTTTATAGTTTTCAATGACAAGTGCGCACATGAATAGATTATAATATTACTCGAGTAAACTTTGAGTTTGATCGGTATCTGGGATTTTTGTGCGCGCATCCTTTTTCATGTCGAATAACTGCTCAAGCTTCCGAGACAGTTTATAAATATAAAGACGTGGGAGAAGTGCACCAAGTCAAGTTTTATAAACACACACCTGTTGCTTACTGCTCTCTAAGGTTTTCTCTATTTTAAGCTCTAGTAAACTCGAAATGTTGCATATATGTAGTTTATATACCTACTCTAGTTTTGATCAATGCTTCTTTAGCCTTGCCGTTTTTAAGGTGCTGGAGAGCCATTCTAATCTCGCTCAGACTGACGTCCGGGATATCATCGGAATAATGTCGGATAAGACTCGCTCTTGGATCGTTAATCACACTTGCGTGCGGCTCCAACGATGACGTGTACAGCTGCCCATAGAACCTCTCAATCTCACTCAAAATCTCAGGTGCCCCGGAAACGATGCTGCCACACTCTGTCTTCAGCTTTGACAGTTGGCGCTTTCTGGCAGACAGATCTCTGGCAAAGACTTTGGAGCCTCGGTTCCGCTCGATCGCTTCTTCAATACGAGCTGTATTGAATTTGCGTAAGTCCCGCCGCATGCATTTGGAGATCTGTCTGTTCAGTTGCCTGTATGCTGTTAAATCTGTTGAAGAATGTAGCTTCATCTCCCGTCTAACAGCCATGAGATTAAGAGTGTGATCGGA